GAAAAGATGAAAAAGAAAAAAACTTATAATCTTAATACTGTTAAGAAGAGAGATGATTCTCTGATATGAATAAATAATTATCTTATTATAAATATTTAAAATGAATGTAATAATTGACATCTGTGACTGAGCTTCAGATAGTCATGTCATACACAGTCTTTATATAATAAATTATTCTGAAAGTCAGTAAGAAGAGTGAAAGCATATACACTGAAAAATATGATTCATTAAGTCTATATAATATCTTCTTGAAACAGGGAGAGCTGATAACAAAAGCAGAGACAGTAAAATCAGAAGTGACAGAAGTGAGAGTCACAGGAACAGAGGTAGCAGAAGTGAGAGAGTCAGACACAGAAACAGATGTAGAAGATTGAGAGAGAGTAGCAGAGAAAGAAATAGAGAGAGTAAGAGAGAATATAGAAGATCTGATCACATATGACATGAACAATTTCTTCATTATCACATTCTTCAAGTTCTCAATCAATGATTTAATATTGGAATCACAATCATTGACAGATATAAATCTGTTAACATGTGAAGATTCTATATAAATTAAAACATCAGCATCTGCAACTATATAACATGATCAGAAAAACATAATCAGATACTACTAAAGAAAAGAGAGTCAGAAGTATATAAGAAGATGAAGAAGATATATTATTCATGACAGTATGTTCTGACAATTGTTAGAAGATAAACAAGTCCTGGCCACATTTCACAACATGTTACACTTACTGCTAATGAACTGCTCAGTATAAGCACTACAAGAACACTTATTATGAGAATGAGAGGCCATTGCCAGAAATGTGTATAATGTGATAGATAAACAGATAGAAAGAGTTGAACAGAAGAAGAGATAGAAATCTTGAATGATAATAATATTTAATAATGATAATAATGAAGAAGATAATTGAAGAATGAGAAAAGTTAGTGAATAAGTGATGTATTATAGTGAAAGTTTCTTTGTGAGAGTGTATACAGAATACTAGCTGAATCAGAAATAGATCACACAATTGTGAAATGCTAGTAGCAAGCTAATCTGCATGAAGTTAGAGTGTATGACATGGTTATATAGGCATGATCAAATCTGATGAGGAAGAATGTGATTTAGAAGAACATATGACTGTCAGATAATAACACAGTCACTTTCAAACTTGCTTATGAGTGTAAAGAGGTCATAGCAGCCGCTAATTAATTTAGTGTACAATATATAAGAAGCCGGCGTACGCCTGTAATTGTACGCTGGCTTAAGCAACCTTTGAATCACAAATTTAATAACTGTGAGAAAAGATTCAAAGAAATTCAAGAAATGAAAGATCTTCAAATTCAGTTAACTGCTGCTTATATTTTTTTAAAAAGAATAAATCATATTATAATTCATCAGATTCAAGAATATAGCTATAATAATATTGAGATTCAGACTGATAATTAACTGTAATTGACTTGTAAGAACTCATTTATAAAGAAAGATTTAAAAGAAGATGATAAATCTTCTAAGCAGATTAATTACACTCATCAATGAGCTGATTCATAAGTTTAACAATTATAGAGAGTAGTGAGTGACTTGAACTAACTCTTGAAATCACTCATTAAACAATCTGATGATAGAATTCTGTGTCTGTTTCAGCCTTGATAATGTACTTAGACAGATAATCAAGAACAGTATAACTATTAGTGTAGAAAATAATATCAGTATTTACTAGTCAGCTAACTATAATTAATCTATTATAGTTATTAAGAATTGAGTTGTTATAATAAGAGTACAGCTGATAATATCTACTACTCAAAGATTTAAGAATAGCACAGTCAGTTCAGTATTCATGCAGAAAGTGAAATCAGTAACATAGATTATCAGTAACTCAGTATTTATAAATACAGTACTTTTCACTACAGTGATAACATTGAACACAGTTGAGAACTGTAGATAAATATTCAATAATATTTATCTGATCAGAATAGCTAAGAAAAAGAAGTGACTATATATCTTCAGACTGAGTATAATTAGGCTCAGAATTCTCAGCTGTAATAATGAGATCTCAGTAGTCAGCAAAGGCTTGATAAGAGTCTTTATTCATATCAAGTTCAGAATTCAGTGCATTCTTACACTAAAATACACTATGTAAGTGTACTGATTCACAGTCTTATCACTTATAATAAGTTTAGTGATCTAGAATTTTGAATTTCAGATCTAGAATCTTTTCCTTGAAGATTATAAGTTATAGATGAAAGTAATATGTGACTATAGTAAGATAGTTATAAATACTATCTCTTATAAACTTCAATCTCTCAAGATCAGTGCTGTACTTTCAAATAATATAGTCAGAGAAGTAATATATTAGATTATCTCAGTAATAATCTGCAGCTGAGAGAGTAAGAAATAGATGCAGAGATTTAATATTTTAAATATAGACTTATAGCTGATGACATTTTACATCTTAAAAAGAATGAGTTTCATGAAGACTCTCTATAAATTATATAAGTGAATTTAAAATTATAGTAGATTATAAAGTATCAGTAGTAAAAGCAGTCTGCAGCTTCTCTAAAGTGAGATTCTTAATAAGAGAGTCAGTTTAATTATAGAAAAAGCAGTTCTGATTATTAATCTATTTACAGAATGAAGAATTGAAAAGAATATATTAAAAATAACTATAACAGATAAAATAACTGTTATAATATTTAAGAAGAAACTGTGTATAATCTGTAAGACTAATTATTCTTTATCTAGAGAGAATAAATTCAGCTTTATCTTATGAAAAAAGTATTGAAAAGATTTAAGAAAAGAGTGAGTGAGTGTTATTAAACTCACTAAGTAATGTATTACAGACTGAAGACAGAGTGAGATAATCAATCTATTCTCACTGTAATATTTTAAGTTCATAACAGAGTTACTTAACTTCAGACTGTGAGATTAAAAGATCTGAAATATCAGAGTATTTAGATGAGATATTTAAGTTATTAAGATTTAAATAATTCTCATTCTCAATAACTGTCAATTCTTGTTTATTAAGCTTATGAAAAGAAATCTGAACAGAGACATCTTTATTTTTAGATAACTGATTTCAAGTTTCTTTATTAATTACAATGTTCTGATAACTGAGATGATTTTTATAGAGATAGATTAGTCATTGAGTAACAGCTTCTTTATAAACTATAAAATCTCAGTGAAACTGATATTATAAGTAGAGATCTGTATTTGAATTTGAAGACTTTAATATAATAATATTAAAATTCTTAGAAAGAAGTGAGAGAGTGTTATAAATATAGTCAGTGTCTCTAAGAAAGCTAATAATATAATCTTTATACTTATGATGTTCTCTGACTTGACAAATCTCAATGAAGATATATATATATAAAATTAATATCTTTTTAATCTGACTGAGAACAGGGAGATCTGAATTAAGATCACTGAGATTAAGATTATTCTCTTAAGAGAATAAAAACAGTTTATCAGACAGCTGTCTTAAATTAATAATATAATAATAAGTATAAATATTATCTTAAAAATTCATTCTGAATCAGTGAATTTAATAATAACTACAGATCTTTATCTATAAATCTTTAAATATATAATGAAATTTCTGTATACACTGTTAATTATCAGAATTAACAGCTGAATCTGTAAGATAAGTAGAACTCTGAGAATTTATTAAAGAGTCTGAGACAATTACAGTCTATAACTGATTATATTTCTGAAGAATTATAAGAACTTCTATATTTAATATATCAATTAAGCTTTCAGATTATATAGAGTACTGAGATATTAAAAGACTGTTAACTCTTTTATTAAGTTAATTAATAAACAGATCTACAGAGCTCTGAGAAACAGAGTTTTAAGAAATTAAGAGTAAGAAAAATAATGTAAAAGATATCTGCAGTGAAAGTATATCTATAAAAGTGAAATAAGATTAACTTAAAAATGAGTTAAATAATAATATAGATAATTGATAAAAGACTGAAGAGAGATCTGTAAAATTAAGAGATAAATTAATTATCAAAGATAGCAGCTGCAGCTGTTTTCTTAATTAAGTTAAGAATAAAGTTAATAAGAAATATTCTCTATAATATCTGATAATACAGTGAGCTCTTTGAATAATAGTTTTCTTTTTACAGACTACTGTTAATAAAGATATATCAGAACTATGAATTTTATAGTAATAAAACTTAATCTCAGATAATATATCTATTTCAATAGACTATTCACAGGCTTGAGAGACTGCTATTAATTATATAAAGTATTAATATATCTGAGATAATAGAGAAAGTTCAGATTTATTTATTATAAAATCTATAACTATAGAAGAATCTAGTTTTACTGTATATATCTGTTTACAGTTCTACACAGTGTAAAGAGATAATCAGTGATAGAAAAGATGTAATAAGAGAAGATTATAATATCTGAGTTCTCTGAGTGCAGTATTGAAGACAGACAGCTGTAGAAGTAGTAAAATACTATAAAGAAATGAATTGATTAAGAGACTGATTTCATAAGCAGTGAATACAAACTTTTAATATATTATTCATTCTTAAGAATCTATAAGAGATGATTGATCAGATGTGTTATCTATTCAAGAATCTGTATAAAGTAGATAGTTAATAAGATGTGTAATCTATTATTCAAGAATCTGTACAGAGTAGATGATATAATTAATGAGATGAAAGATGAACATGTTATGAGTGTGTAGAAGTCATAGTACAATGTCATGGAATTGTGCTTTGCTTAATTCTACATCAATCAGTGGGCTGTATTCGCGCCAAGAACCCCAAAAAGGAAATTCTCCACTTTTAATAACCAGGGTTTTCATCATATATTTGCTTCGCTTCGCTCTGCAAATTAATAATTTCAGCACAAGAAAGAGATTAAATTAAATAAAATTATTTTCTTATTTTTATTTGGATCATATTCTGACATAGAAAAAGAGTTTCTGTTTAGTCAGACATGGAATCAAGCTAGATATCTGATTGGCTAGTTCCAAGCCTGCTGGAATCATGATTCACGATAATTTATATCAATTTTTGTGAGAACAAATTCCACTTCATATCAGACCGCCAGGAAAGGAGCAAATGGACTCATTTATGTTCATTTATGCTTGAAAGGTGCTCAGAGTCCACCCTACCCAAATTCCAAACCTGGCAGAGACTGCTCGTATATTCAAATTTAACCATAGAGCATGGAGTATTTGATTCGATTCGCACAAGTCCACGAGTCGTTTCGGAAGCCCGAGATTGAAGCTCTCGCGGCGCTTGTTGGGACTAATGTCGAATTCTTAGCATACGCAGAGAATGTCTGTTAGCCGAAAAATGTTTCAGCAGAAAAGCCATAATTTCCCCTTATTTTATGATAGCATCCTAACGTTTTGAACCAGACACCTTTTGCCGTCGTTAAACTTCAAGATGAAGCCGCTGCAAGAGCAGTCATATGTCGCAGTATCCTTGCAAAGGGCATATATGAGATCTGGGGCCATGGCAAAACATATGAAGAGCTCCATATGGACATCCGTAACCGGACTGAAGCGCGATGGAACAACTTCAAAAGCAAATCATTCAAGTTCTCCGTAGACTCATATGCTGGAAAACGCTCCGCAAATGAGAAAACTCAAATAATCCATTCATTCGCCTACATGGGTTTCCAAGGCCCAATCCGTATGACCGACCCGGACGAGGAGTTTTGCATATTCGAGGAATACCCCTGTCGCCCAATCAAACCAGGGGAAGCTCGCCCTGGCCCGAATTTCGTCCATTTCGGTAGATGGATTGCATGTGGGAGCAGAGATGTTATAGATAAATACGACTTGAAGAAACGAAACTATATCAGCACCACGTCAATGGATGCCGAGTTGACGCTGGTCACGGCAAACATGGCACTAGCAGCGCCAGGAAAGGTGTTCTTTGACCCCTTTGTGGGGACTGGGAGCTTCTGTGTTGCTATGGCGCATTTTGGAACCCATTCATTGGGTTCTGATATTGACGGGCGCAGCTTCAGTGGTAAGGATAGGAAGAAGGGCAAATCGATAGGTCTCGTCTCGAACCTTGAACAATACGGCATACAACAATATCACTTGGATGCATTTGTTTCTGACCTGACCAACTCGCCAATCAGGTCGACGCCATTTCTGGACGGCATCATCTGCGACCCTCCGTATGGCGTTCGAGAAGGTTTGAAAGTTCTAGGGAGCAGGTATGGTAAAAAGAAAGAGCCTTTTTTCTTAGATGGTGTCCCGAGTCATAGGTGAGGGACCTGTCTTATTTTTTTTTTACTCCTCAAAAGCCCTCCTCACCGGTCCTACGTCCAATATTGGCATTCAGGGCAAAGGGTTACATGGTTCAAAAAGCTAACATATATGCTTCTTCCCTAACAACCAGTCTGGACGGGTACATCGCGCCCAAGAAGCCCTACAGCTTCGACGCAATGCTAGACGATATCCTCGATTTTGCTGCCCGCACCCTTGTCCAAGACGGGAGACTTTCTCTTTGGATGCCCACTGCCAATGAAGATGATGTTGAGCTTAAAATCCCCAGTCATCCCCGGCTAGAACTTGTGAGTGTCTGCGTACAACCTTTTGGCCACTGTAAGTTCTCCCATTCAACGCAGGGTTAACTCTTCTTTTGTCCCAACCTTTTTTGTGATAATCACCTTTGGATCTCCCCCCTAATACACTGTTTGTGCAGGGTCCCGCCGTTTACTTACGTACCGCCTCCTACCTGATGGGGAATTTTCATCGTCTGAACCACGACGCCAAAGAGAGGAGATAAATGGTGTGAACGCTGATGATCTGAATTCTTTTCGAAGAAAGGTACGAATACATTACTACTGTATGCGGAATGTCTGAACGGCGATAACTAACGTCTGTCAAATAGTACTTTACCAAATCCAAGCCGTCTCCCACGGACAGCCCTGATAACAAAACACCACAATGAAGAAGATGATGTGGGCATGCGATCTAAGCTCTTATTTCATGGTTTCGATGAACCATCTCTTGTCTATTGCTTATCCCTGAGTAGCGAAAAATCAGTCCACGTAAATTCTATAAGCGCATGTCTTATCAGTCCGAATACAAGCGGAAAGGGGGAATATTGCGCAAAAATATAAGGGCACGAGAAAACATCCAACAATCCCTCCCAAAAAGACTTCAGCAACCATGGAACCCACTACTCAAAATACCACACCTCGACAACGAAAAGCAACGCCTTCCTCACCCATCGAATCCAAACACCACCTACGATCACAATTTCTCCAGCCCTCTCCCTTTCCCTTTAGATTGCTCGAATTCTCCATCGAGATCTAAATCGATACCTTCAGCTTCCTTAACCCTGGCAACCTCTCTCGCCAACTCAGCCCGCAATTGAGCTACCGTTTCCTGCGCCTCGTCATCGTCAAGCTCGTCTCGTTGGCCGCGCCCAAACATCAACCAGCCTCCCTTTGTGGGAGTATTCGTATCCAGAGGTGGCCGTGGGATGATATGGAAATGAACATGAGGCACCGTTTGTGATGCTCTCGGACCTGTTTTTGGAGTTCAACTCCTCCAGGGGCGAGGAGTGGGATGTGTGAGAAAAGTAACCGTCATGGCAATTAATTTGCAAGGCATGCAAAAAATATATAGAGAAGAGCTTATGAATATTGAAATACATGGAAGGAATTGCAAAGTACATAATGCCTTATGATGTAATTTTAAAAGGAAACAGGAGGCAGCAGAGGCTAACATACCATTATTCTGCACAACATTCCACTGCGCCGGATCTTCGCCGCGCGAATCTAAGTCCGTGCCCAGCACCGTCCTGGTCACCACTCGAGAAAGTATCGGGAGCCATTTACCAAGCTATATGTTAAATTCATTCCAATCAGTATATAGAAATCAACACCAACCATAGTTCTCGTGCTAGTAATCAAATTTAAACCCCCCAACCCAATTCTCCCAATTCTCCCAATTCTCCTGTAATCAGGGACCAATATTTCTGAACTTTAAAATAAAATGCTAATACACAAGTAAATAAGGCACTCACCTCCTTCCCAACCTCAGCCCCAACATTCCCCAATTTCTCATAATGACCCCTAGCAATCACCAGCACATGACCTCTCGTCAGGGGCATAATGTCAAGAAACGCCAGCACATGCTTCGTCGAGAGAAAGAGGTGTGCTTGGGGCGATGGGGAGCCAGCATCGTCTCTCTTAGTCGCAGGTGGATTGATCGGTACATCCCGACGGGAGGGTGGAGAAGGGGGATGAGCGGCTGCTATAGCGCAGAAGGGGCATGTTGGTGAGCTGGGAGGCTTGGGTTTGGGGGATTTTTTAACACGCTTCTTGAGGGATGGGGGTGGCCAGATGGTTGCTGGAGGTGCCATTGTATTTCGAAGAGCTGGGTACGTACGTCCCACCTTTCCGATTTTATGTGGATTCGTGTCCCTGTTGATATGCGTCGATACCTCAAAAATGGCCCGGTGCAAATTGTTGGAGAGGATACTATAGTTAGTTATATATAAATATATATATTTACCCCGGAACTTCAATCGTGGAGAGAACAAGAAACAAGGACGGTAAAGCGAACCCAGAGAAAACTACACGGAACAATACTCGAGGTCTACAACCGGAGAAATTAAAAGAGGACAAGATAATTCTCTCGAGCTCAGAATCTGACACCGGAATATGAATATGCTGGAGAGACCTGGTTACCACCTCCTCCCTCCCTCCCCCTGCGGGCTGGAGGTTCCTGACCAACCCACCAGCTCTGCGAAGCCGAGGCCCGCCAGCTTTGGAAGTCGCGCTAGCGGCTAAATACCTTATCATAACCACGGCTCTCGTAACGCTCACCTTACAACAAGAAAAAACATCGTTGCCTTTGACTCTTTGTTGATTCGCCTTGGTTATTTCGTACCATCCCGAGGTCAGCAAACTCCATACCGCAACCGATATGAAGGCTAATAATATTCTGTTCTTCGCGCATTCTTCAGATCTAGCGCCGTGAAGGGAGATCACCATAAACATTATTACGTGACGAGATACTTCTCGCTCCTGTCAACCATGCTCTGTTTGAATCTTCTTAGGCACGTAATATCCCAGGGAAAATAATAATAAAAAGATTACGGTTCGAGATATGTTATCTATGGCAATGGGTAACTGAGTGACCCAGCCAGACCGGCGAAGCCGATGCTGATGTGAATAGATAGATGAATGACGGCCTCTAACTCAAGAAGTGATGGTGACCCTGGATTGCGTGAAGGTGGCAAGGATCATTTTAATATCCCCAGTTAGTTATATGATAAGTTGAAATCGTCCACGCGTCTAGTAATAGAAGATGGGTGGTATCATGAAACTACTCCTAGTGTCCCTTACTGTATCCTCTACTGCCCCCTTACCTGCTTGTCTTGTGTCAGATCCCATCACGCACATCTCTGCACGCGAGCCGCCGGAAGCAAGATAGCGGAGTATGGCAAGATGTCGAGATAGAGATAAGATATCATCAGGCAAGCAAGTTCCGGAAAGCGTTTACCGGCAATAAAATAGACAGGACAAGCGCCGTACCGACCTTGGAGAGTTAAGAGCAAACGCGTCATGGTGAATAAACCAGGAAAAAAAGCAACTGGACACGCGCCCCCTAAGAATTTAAATAAAATAGAAAAATGAGATTTTCTCTTCAAACAAACACTGAAGCTCACGCAGGAGCAACAGCAGCAAAATAGCAAATATAAGCGTAAAAACTATTCTTTGGATGAAGAAAAGGAGAAATCAAGGAAAAGAAAAGAGAAAGAAAAAAGAACCTCGGAACGAGAAGAACATAGGGGCAATAAACAAATATAGGGCGTAGCAAAATAAAACGAAGTCGAAGAAAAAGAAAAACGGCAAAGATGCTTTCCAAACCCTGACACATGTTCTAACACCGGTGGCAAGAGAAATGAAACAAGTGAGAAGCTCCAAAAAAATCCCCCCAAAATTAGGGGCGAAGGTTAGAATTGCGAACGGTGTCCTTTCGTTTCGTCACACCTGAGAAAGATAATAGCGGGAACCAGAGTAAATAGACATGCAAGCACAAACAAACAACAATATCAAAAGGAATCCTAGGGCACCGAACGGAAGATGAAGAGGCGAGAGAGTGATGGGGGAATGGGGGGAGGGTGGGGAGGAGAGTAGATAATCAGCGAGGAGTGATAACGATGCCATCATAACAAAAATGCACCCACATATATATATACTCCGTCATAAACTCGAGAAAAGGGACCCAAAAATGAGGAAATGAAGGAAGTGAGCGCCGGCCGTCCAGACAGAAATACATACAGGTTGAGGCGCGAGAATAAATTTTATATCACAATCATAGCATATAACAGTGGGCCTGACTCTTCGTGTCACTATCGACTATACTTGGTATTGCTGCTGCTCTCCCTCGAGGAAGCAGTATCGGTATCCAGGTAGAGAGAATGGTATTTCTTTGCCCATTGGCGGGTAACAATTGAAGCTGATTATCAAAACAAAGTTAGTGAGCGGGGTTATGAGAAGACGGGTAAGATCGCAAAGCATACCTTTCATAAATTTTTTGCTGGCGTATTTCTTGAAGAACGCCTCATGGGATACGGGACGGTGAAGGTAGTCAACCAACAATTGAAAAACAGGGAGAATTTCTTCCTTCGTGTAGCCAGAATAATGTGCAAGTGTCGCGTCCTATATTTAGTCCAACTTGTTAGATTAGGGCAGAAAACAAAGCAATTCACGTGACGTGAGACGTACCCAAGGGCCCCGGTGAAGGATCAGGCGTGCTAGATACATGGCGGCAGCGGCAACATGGCTTTGTCGGTAAGGCATAAACCTATGATCCAGCAAACTAACTTCTAAGAAGTACTTTCCAAGAGTTCGCGTCTGGATGTCATAGTTATCTGCCTTGGATATTCTTCGCAGAAAGTTCATTGGATTTGGGTAGCTGATGTCATAATTGAGGGTTGCGAGGACGTGTCTTTCAGCGTCGAGAATCTCCTTATCCGAGAAGGTTTCGTCGGCGACATGGCTGAAGTTGGCGACATGAGGTGAGAGGACTTCTTCATACTTGGCAGCAATAAACATAGCGGTAACTCCAACAAGCTGAAGTCTGTCTAACGCGACGACCTCGGCGGACAAAAAGCGATCGATGATATTGACGGTGAGGAAGAGAGTTTCAGGGAGGAGACGGAAACGGGTGTGGACTTCGATGAGCCAGTCAACAAGAATACCACGCATTTTCCACTCGAGTTCTTCCTGATGGTCGATGTAGTCTGGGTTGGGCATGGTCTGGGGCTCAATCTCTTTCAGGTAGTCGAAGATCTCAACGACATATTCAGCCGCCATTAAAGGATCATAAAGGTCTTCGGTGTCGAGGTCCAAGACCTCGTCTTCCTCTTCCTCCAAAACAACCTCTTTTTCACCGCGAGCCCCTTTCAAAACAGGCTTCTTCTCCTTCTCCTTCTCGAGGTTTTCGATTTTCTCAATTTCGACCTTCCTCTCAATATCAACCTTTTTTCGAGGTGGCTCCTCAACAGCACTGGCGGCTTCTGTTCGGGCGGTTTTTTTGCCTGATTGACGCTTCGTTTGTGTACCTCCCAAAACACCAGAACCACTACCCGGGCGTTTTATCTCAGTTGTTTCTCGTTGTTTGTTGGTGTCCTTCACACCCAGGGCAGATCGTGTTGTGTTTGTTCGACTAAGCTTCTGAACTCCTGCGCTGTGTGTGGAAGCCTTCGAAGTCAAACCAACGCGCGAGGTAGCTGGTTTCTTTCCCTCTTTGGCCTCCACGTTATCTACCTTTGTCATATTACTAACATCTCCCAGGGCAGGGCGATGCCGTTGTGTGGCAGCATTGGAAGTATTGGCTGCAGATTTCTTCGATTGTAGAGGTTTTGTTATTGCTCCATGAGTGTCTGGCACGGCAAGGGCAGCAGCCTTTGCCCGTGTTAAACGTGTCGTGGGGGCATTTTCGTCATTTTCGTTTGTGACGCCTCGTTGGCGAAGAGACCGTACCTGGAAGGGAGTCAATGATAAACCCATAGAAACAATTATCAGGACAAGGGTGCCAGGAGGCCATCGTTCGTATGCTTGAGTGAACAACCGAGAGAAAAGGAGACTTACAGGTGGCATCCTGTGCGGTGTGAAGAGTTACGAGGAACGCGTCGAAGTGAATTGGATTTCTAAGAACTAAGAATGGCGTTACGTGCAACAGTCACAATTGCTACTCGTTCTGCGACACGCTAGCATATTAGGGGATGAAGACAGTATGATGATATGCCTGAGGGGATTATGTCGCACCAGTTGTGATAAAAATCTCATGGGAAAAAAGGGTCGTTGTTTTGAGAGGGGCGGATGGGAGTTTGTTGTGACTGTCGAAGAAACAACCCTGGAAAACCAGAGCAACGCCTTGGTATTCACGAAGCCCTGTTTGTTGATAATCTTGTTTAGCACGACAACAATTCCACACACACCAGCTCAAGCGTTGAAAAGAGCAGTGAGAGGGGGTAGACGGTTGGGATGTGAACTTCCTTACTATATATTTCGAAGTAGAAATGGGGTGCGGGTGCCTGGCAAGTCTAAAGTGTTTGGTGCTCCTTTCGCGCAGTAATAGTGCCAAGAGCCACTCCAGGAGTCTTCACGCGTGCATAGAGGTTGTAGGAGCTGGCAAAAGTAGAATAAGCAGTAGGATGCGTGATATGAAGTGAATAGTTAAGTAGTAAAATGAGATTGTGGTCAATACTGAGGTGAGGTCTGAGAGGATTAGAAGAGAGAATGATGATGGTGGTGAGAAAAAAAGAACACAGGAGGAGCAGAATTGGAGCTTGTAATGTGTGTGGTTGCGTACGGCAGCGGTACTTAAATGGTACAGGGAACAAGGAGCGGGTAACAGGTACTGTAGCGTATCAAACCACTGCGGTACAATCAATACACGCGCTGTGGATGTCAGTCGCGGTAAGAAACTGTAAATGCCGTACGAGTAGTAGGTCTTGGGTGTAAACAAAGACTGTTGGCCGGGAAACAAGCCTCCTGACATGTTGGTTTCTATACGTTCTAGGGTGTATCGATACTTACGACGCTGTAGGCACACGCTAGACATAGCTAGCAGCTAGTAAAATACCGTATCAAAATTACTCATATGAAAAATAGAAACTCACTTGTGGCGGTGCATGCTTCTATGGCTGGTGGCAGAGGACATGTGGCTCAATAATCACGTGGACCACATATCATGTGACACCCTACCCGCGAAACTTTTCGGATCTGGGAAAGGAAATGTTCCTGGTGTAGCGAGGATCAGAACGACGGACGTTACGTTGATATAAACACCACAACACACGGCATCAATTACAGCGGCAAGGGCCGCCTGAACCCCTCTTTACTTTATCCACCTCTATTTTGCTGGGTATGCCTTGAGCATTGGACCTCCTGTTTACGCTTGCCCCTATCCCTTGCCAGCAAAATTTGGAGCCCTCCGCTGCCCATCATGCTCCAATCACGCCTCCCATTGAGGAGTCTACAGAGCTCATGTAGATGTATCTCATCAGCTACCGCTCGCGCATATTCTAGCACACTCATTCAGAAACCAGATGAACCAGCCGAACCGGAAAAAAAAGTTACTCCTAGCTTCGCTTTTGCGCCGCCTCCAATTAGAGACAAAGAAGGGCTGGGTATGCGCTCTTACACACCTCGCACTCCCGGTCTTAGGCATCTACGAAGGCCGATTAACGATCACTTGTGGAAAGGAAGGCCGCTCCACAAGCTCACTTTTCCCAAAAGAGGCCACGGCAAAGGTGGCCGAAATAGTACCGGTAGAGTGACTGTTCGACACCGGGGTGGAGGCCACAAGCGGAGAATACGCACTGTTGATTTCGAGCGGAAGGAACCAGGACCCCACACAGTTGAGAGAATCGAGCACGATCCTAACAGAAATGCGCATATTGCCCTTATTAAGTCCAAGAATACGGGCAAATTTAGCTATATCATCGCTGCGGAGGGCATGAGGGCAGGTGATGTCGTCGAAAGCTACAGAGCCGGTATCCCCGACGAGCTATGGCAGAGTATGGGCGGCACAGTCGATCCCGGTGTGTTGGCTGCCAGAACCGCATGGCGAGGCAATTGTCTTCCTCTTCACATGATTCCCGTCGGCTCATTGATCTACAATATCGGATTAAAACCAGGCAAAGGTGGTCAATTATGCCGAGCTGCCGGTACCTTTGCAACCATCACCCTAAAAGCAACTGAAGAACTGCCCGAGGAAATACAGCAGGCGGAAGGCTTATCATCAGAACAAGGGGACGAGAAACCTCTTACCATACAGGAAAGACACAAACTCAAACAGCTTGCCGACCATGTTACTATTCGCCTTGCCAGCGGTGAAGTCAGACTCATCCATAAGGATTGTTGTGCAACAATCGGTGTTGTAAGCAATGCCTACTTCAAATACCGGTCCCTTGGAAAGGCTGGACGAAGCCGGTGGTTAAATATCCGCCCGACCGTCCGAGGTCTTGCTATGAACGCAGTCGACCATCCTCACGGTGGTGGACGAGGAAAGTCGAAGGGTAATGTCCATCCAAAGAGTCCCTGGGGCAAGCCGGTACGTTATCCCTTTTCCCGTACCTCTTTTATATATTTCCTATTCTTTCCCCAATTATCTTCTCATAACATAAACTCCGTCTTTCTCTATTTATTTACTGACCTTGCTCGTCTCGAATGCAGGCCAAATCCGGATACAAAACCAGACCAAAAAACCGTGTCAACAAAGCTGTCGTTATCCCACGCGTACGGAACCAAGGCAAGCGTCGCAGAGGATACAACTAAGAGGTCTCCTATTAGGCCTCTAGGTTCATGCCCGTGGAGTTTTTGGCCTTTTCTTCGTTGTTTTATTATAAATACACACGGCTACCTCCTTCCTCGCCCCGCCCCTACCCGCGTTTGCATCCATACGCAATTATATATTTATATTACTCCCACAAATGTATTCTCTGACAGCTATTCCTCATTCGGTTTGACTTCTACGCCTCCATTGTTCGAACAGTCGATTAGAATAGTTATTTCCGGATTAGAGTGCCCGGAGGGCTGCCATTTTCCTTCCATCTTGTTACCATTGTTGACTGATGTTACGATCCGTGGGATGCATGGTTTTTCCCTGATCTGCCGCTTAAACCAGGCGGAAAGGGACATTGGTAAATATATTACCCCCCCAGAATCGCCTGTGTGCTTCATGCATGAAACGGAGGTTTTCCCTTCAAAAACATTATCTTAAGGGCCCGTGTTGTGCTTTCTTCCAGTTTTACCTTTGTCTCGCGCTCGATGCAATTCATGATAAAACTCTTGTACAATATTTCCCCCCAATCCGCCGATTTCTGAGATGGATTCGCTGTTGTTCATTTAGTCTGCGAATAGAAACCAATGTATCTTTGCTTTTCACCTTTCATTACATTATTGGCATGATCTGCCTGTAAAACAATTCATTCTACTTGTGCGAAAAGCAGCGGGATTGCCATTCATATTTAGAGAGAACTGGATTTACATTTGATTTTAAGCTCTAAATGATTGAGACATTTGTACTACGTGCGAGTCATCCCTAGTCGCCATGACACATCTGTCCATGAAGGAAACTGCTTGAAACGGATAGAATAATGCCTTGGGAGAGGCGGAAATCTATTGGAATAGAAACAAAAGTATCAATGGAGTATAAATAACTGCGGAATGGGTATATTATGCAGAGAGAAAACTCAAAGAAAAGAGCTACCACATTTAACAGAAATGTACCGCCCACCCAACGCCACGCTTATGCAAAAGAATTAAAAATAAAATAAAAATAAATAAAAATAAACACGGCTTCATCAGGAGGGTGACCGATGTAAGATTGAAATCAGTCAGTTTTCTCTCACGCACTCGACCACCTTTCATCCCATGAGCGGCCCCTGCCCACCACCATCGTTACCGGCGCATCCCTGACTCTGGTACACCTGCGAACAAGCCCCTTGATATACTCAATATTAACAGCATGGGCATTCGCCAGATGCAACACAAACTGGCCCTCATCCAGACAATCATGCCAACCCACACAATCACCGAAGCCATGGAAATCCCAGAGGTGGTGCATGCGCACGTCCCTGTCGAGATAATGGGTTCTGTCGAGCCTCTCCTCACAAGCATTGCACCAGTCCACAACCAGCTCCCCAGTTTCGTCTTCGTCCTCGTCGAAGAAATCTGCTAGGTTTGTATAATCGGTGATTTGGGGACAGGTGTAGGTGTTCCTGGGTTGGTGCCAGAGGTCGTAATGGTCGAGGCTGGGGTGCGGCACCTGGCAGTCTTTACAGGGCTTCGCTGTTGTTGCCCGCTGGTTGGGTGATGTTCCGATCTGATTTATGGAATCTTGCAGCGTGGGGCGCTGTAGCGTGAGTAGCGACGGCAAGTCCCAGTATGACGGGGCATCAACAGTTCCGGCTGAGCCTTTGCGCCATGGGAATGGCGATTTCATGGGATCCCACATTCGCATGGTCTGGCCGTTGCTGAAGTGCTCGGCAAGATGGGCCTGTCGGTCTTCCCAGGAGCGCAGGAGTTCGTCACAAAAGCCGCAGGTCCAGAATATGTTCGCGGCTGCTTGCGGCTCGTTGCGTTGACTGGAGTAGATACTCCCTCCAGTGCTCTGTGCGCTAGGCTGGCTGTGGGACGAGGAGCTGGATGACTGAGGTTGTGATTTAGTTAGGAGTCTGCGAATACTCTTACCTCTGCTCCACCGCGAGCCTGATGAGCTGATTTCATCGCGTCGTGCTTCTTTAAGTTTAGAAGGTCGACTGAAATTTTCGAGGTCCTCCAGGTGGAATCTTTGTTCATGTTTGAGCCAGTCTGTTTTATTCTGACATTCGAACAGGCAAAACGTGCAATGAAACTCTTTAACTGTAGTGAGGGGAGTTGTTGCCACTTTTAGAGGCAAGCGAGGCTTCTCGAAGGAAGAGCTGGCATTGGACAAAATCGATGTGGGCGGTTTTGAGGTGGAGCACTCGGTCTCTCTTGTGAGAGCTTTCGACCTTATCGATGGGCTTTGATCACGGATCACTCTCCCTGTATGTGGCTCTTTTGTGGAATTTCTCCGGTTACTGCAATTTGAATCAACATGCTGGTCTCGAGGTATGTGTTCGTGGCCTGTTTCCCTTTTTTGCCGTCGCGGAAGATAATTCAGGGCTTGCTTGAGGGTTGTTGACCATGACGATGTTGAACGGTTTTCAGGGTTTTGAATTTTGTCCGTAGTTTGGGGTTGGGTGTGAGTGGATGAGTTATCGGAATTTCTCGAGGAGGTTTTGTTATGAGATGTGCGGAAATGACCCTTTAATCTGTTAAGTGTTCTGGACGCAGAATTGTGCGGCCGTTCCTCCCGGGGGGGTGGCTCAGGAGGAGGAGGGCTCTCAGGATTATCAGGAGATGGAGGACGAGTTAGATTGCTTGGACCAATAGGGTAGTCATCGGGACAATCATTGGGGATCGCGGATGGGCTAGATGGGCGTCGTCCCGTTTCCGGCGGAGGTTGACCGCATGGTTGCATTAAATTGTGATGATTTTCAATATGGCCTTGTAGTGTCACGGACGTGTGTGAGGTGCTGCTAGAAATATGGTTCCGGAAGTGATCCAAAGCTTGGATTTCAGAATCAGAGTGGACTGGGCTACCTAACGGTGAGTTGAATCCATCAAAGATGTGGGCTTGTTCAACTTACAGAATCTCCCGTTCTTGCACAGCCAGGGGTATATGCTTGGTGCTCTCCTGCGATTTTGGCTTCTCCTTCACGACCTGTGGTTCAGAATGTGTATCGTCTCTACCCCGGGCTGAAGACAGCGAGCGAAAAGGTCGAGAGAAGTTTGGGATCTTCCCCAAAAACCCAAGCTGCGGCCACATTGTGAGGTTAGGCGCACATAAGGAGAGTAGGAAAGGAATTTGAGCAGTAGAACATTATTACTCTCTTGGCAAGGAAAATAAAGAAAAAGCTCACCCGGCCATAGTCTTGTTGAGGTTGGATTTTGTATATTTTACCAGAGTCAAGCGATGTTTGACGAACCTCAACTGTAAGTGCATGCCAAAATGGTTCTGAAGCGAATGTCTAAACTTGGCTGTCTTGTTAGCTATTGAAAGTTGTTTCCCTCGAAACAACACACCGCAAACTGCCTGATATCAGTGAGGTTACGAACATCTTGTGGTTGCTCCTGGGCTATCCAAGCATCGTCACCAGGTGGTTGAGAGTCGTGGTCAAATGGCGAGGTCTCCTTGGGGTAGAAGCGGTCAGGCAACGCAGCACCATCGTCACCTAGAGCAGCGTGGTGCCCCTCGGAGGTGGAGTGCCACGAAACGGGCAACGGGTCGAGACGTGGCCCAGAGGTTCTTGTCGACATGAGTGCTTGACGTGTGTGTGAGGTGAAGATACCCTGACGCTGACGGCCGGCACTCCAAAATCATCGCATCGTTTACTCACACCATAGTGTTTTGGCGCAAAGTGGAGAAGAGCATGAAACAAGAGAAAGGGAGTTGTAGGCTTCCAAAAGCAAGTGGAAGCAAACCGAATATAAAATATAGCATTCAGAATTCGCCTGATGCCGCCGGTTTTGAATAAAGTGAATCGCAGCCACTCCGCGAGTGTAACACGGAATTCGCCTCGTTTTGTGGCACATCTCACTGGCCCAAGAGCCAGCTGCAAGGAGAGCTCTTCCTGCAGTCAGAACACGTAGAGGTGCGTCAGAAAAGGCTATGCGCTGCAGACATCTTTGTGCAAGGCTCGCAGCCAGCAATGCTGCGTGTTGAAGCGCTATTGGTGATTGAACCTAACGGTCAGCAGGGTTTGTCAATCTGCTTCTGCTCCTCTCCGGCTTTAAGGATGGTAAAGGAAGGAATTTCCTTCACATGCAAGTAAGCCACGTCGAGGTAAACCGCCTTTGACATTTGGATGTAATTGGCGTTAAATAATTCCTTTGCCCAACCTCCGTTGTTGGTTATTATTAATTGAAACCAATCAATCGTCAACCCATACAGCATAGTGTCTCGGGAAACAAGAAGACGCGCTCATCTTCATCATCCTCTCCCATTCCTTTTTTTAATGTTATATATTCCGGCGGCTTTCATGTTCTGTTTTCCATTTAATTTGTGCCATAGTTCTGGTTTTCAACTGCTGGGCTGATGGTGATTATGTGTTGTTTGGTGCTGATTAGGCCCATTGGGGTGGCGGCCACTTAAAAATATTTAACTAGTTTTCAGCTCAGGCATCATTTTAAAATATGTCAACGACTTGCGACGTTTCTGTGACGTTAAGACGGGAATGAATAACTTCCATCCTATACTCGATCTTGGTTTTTTCAAACATTTGACTGGTTGAATCAGGGCCAGATAACTTGAGACTTACCTACATGTATTCATTGAAGAAGATTATCTAGGTTTGACAGTCTCTTTCGGGACTTCCCGAACCCTGATGAAAGGGCTGTGTTGGTTCATTTGGAGGAAATTATGACATGTACTGTACATGTTCACAAAGGGATAGAAGCTGCAGTTAAATAGTTCCGAATGTTCGACTGCAACCCCCAGACCAAATATCCTGTACAAAATCTTCGTCTTCATTCGAACATTCTAGAAAACTGGTAAGTCTCGATGAATAGTTCCATGTTATCCACGCAGCGAATCCCATCGTCTCATTTCCAATGAACAATTTATCGACTCGTTACGGTCTTCCCATGGGCTTTTTGGTTGGTCTCCTCCGATCAGCCATCAAGAGCGATACTTCCAACGTCTCAACTCGTAATTTCCACCCTCTGGCCAATCAGCCCCGACATACGGACGGTATTCCAACAGCAGCTAGGTCCGCTTCAATCACTGTGAACCAGTCGCCTTTGCAGCGATATTCAACGTGTTTAAGCACACGGCATTCTGTTGCAATATCACGATTCACCACAATCGACCATAAGAGAACAACAGTTACCGCCGCCCTCTTCTGGTGTTGACTGAGTTTCTAACCCAAGTGCTATTAGGTCGAAGTGTTGGACCCAGTGGCCGCTATTTGACATAACTACCGACAGGCCCAAGCAAGACTCGGTGAGCCATAAAAGTCACCGTTACTCCTAAACCCGACAAGTTTCAGCTAGCTTCAACCAGCAGTCTTGACGCCGAGTCGATTTTCAGTGACGCTTTCATAAGATCGGGAGCTGATGGCATATAAATAACCGCCTGTTACCATATGTGGCTGCTGGATAGTTAACGTCGTCTGAGACAGCCGATCTGCTGTAAAGTAGGTCCCCTCTTCACAACCTCTGTCCAAACACGCCTGGTTAGGACACCGATGGTGTAAACTAGTCTTCGAGTAGCAGGCATGAATTGGAGTGTGTGGGGTTAGTTGGTGAAGGATTTTCCATTTAACCTGCCAGGGATCGTGGTGACGTATGAGTGCAACCCCAAAACGTGAACTCAACAACTCGAAAGTGTGATTCACGAGTAGAGACTTTGCAAGCGGTTTTTTACCCCGTTGAGCTGGAGATTTTTATTTAGTTTGTCTCGACAATTTCTTGAACTCCCGTCCCCCAATCTGTTAATCGGGGCTCTGAGGAGGTTTCTCAAGCTGTACGGAGCACGTCACTTTGTTAATCAATACCATGGATGAATGAGCCTATATATTCCTGTGCATCTGGGGATTGTTTGGTCACTACAGCTCTGGGTTGATGGTGAGGGAGCTCAGCACATGAACATATTTGTTGATCAGTCAATAGAACAAGCAGGTATTTATACGCCGTGTACGGAGGAATTCAATTCAAATGATCCAGACGCCAATAGTCTTCCATCATTCAGGAGGCAAAACCTCGTCGACACGAAGACATAATATTTAATCGCATTGCTTTATTCCAGAAAAAACACTACGCAGTGCAGTGGTGAGTGTATATGATTAGTCAGCAAACTCTAATTGGTTGGTGTAAACAACATCGTCCGTTTTGGCCTCGAGTACTCTGTAGACATGACATGCTATTGACATAGATGGGATCATGAAGACTTTTCATCCGCAAAATATGTAAGGGATAGCCGTCCTCGTGCCGCAGAATTACCTGTGTTTGTACGATGACGTTCTTTGAGATTTATGGAGGCAAATTTAGCGCGCTTGGGGTCTTGGTAGTGTCGGGGATGTTGTTGCCGATACGAGGGCTGCCACTAAAATATGCTAAAATATGCGCTTGAAGAAGATCTTGGGGCGGGCAAGGCAGCACTGTTCTTGACGAATCTGTTGGAAGTTGGAAGCCAGGTCCTGCGAAACATACCATCCTTATAAGTGCGATGAGAGCTTGGATAAGCAACCTTTCTCGCACTCAAATCTTGCCTGCTCAGGCATCTCAGCTTCATCTGCTCGCTGATTACTTTTCCCCCCGCGCACAAGTTGGTGCCAACGCTGGACTCAACATCGTGGCATGATGGAGGGCGCCAATCCACATTCCACTGAAGTGCTCGATGCTCGATTAGGACAACCATCGCAGACCCTGTCCTCTGGCCGAGATAGCGCGATTCATCAATCGGGATCACAGATGGGAAACGATAGCAACCCGGAGCCACGAACCAATGGCACAAACCAAACTTCTTATGTACCTCGCCCCAAACGGATAGCCTGTGTTATATGTCGGAAAAGAAAGCTGCGATGTGATGGAAACAAACCGAGCTGTGGTACATGTTCCCGCTTGGGGCATGATTGTTCCTACGATGAAGTGAGAAAAAAGAGCGGTCCAAAGAGGGGATATGTGAAGCAGTTAGAAGCAAGATTAGGTATAACCATATTACGGAGCTCATGCGTCCACTGGATTTGTATCCAGATAACTGTAGAGCATTGCTGATGGATTGTTTCCTTCCTACTTCTAGCCCAAGTCGAGACTTTACTCAAATCTCAAGACTCCGGGGATGTCTTGCGGAAGTCGCCCGCACCCACAGACAGCACACCTCAACCTCCTACATCTACCGGTTTTCCTAATGACGCGCCTTATACGTTCGCATGCCCGAACACAACAGGGAATGCGCATCCAGTTTCCCTTGACCTGCTTGGTGACCTAAATTCCACTCAGATCAACCTCCCGGACAGTAACATCACTTCTGGGGGTGACTTTTCATGGGAGATGATTGGTCTGGGTTTGGAAGAACCCCTTCCGGCACAGGATGTTATTGATGAGCTGTACGTGTAATTCTTAGCTTCTCAGCGTAACATACGACATAAGATATGACCTAACGGATGGTGTCTAGAAATGAGATATATTTCCAGAAAATTCACCCATCAATGCCAATCTTACACCAACCGCGATACTATGCTGCAATGAATCTTGCGCCTAACATGCGGCCCCCTGTATGTTTACGATATATAATGTGGGCTTTGGCTAGTTCTGTTACGAATAAGTATCGAACATTGCATCCGCATTTCTATCAACGTGCACGAAAATATGCAGAGTTGGACCAGATGAGAGGCCTTGGCGAGTCCATGGCCACCGTTACTCACGCCCAAACTTGGATTTTAATGTCTTCTTATGAGTTCAGGATGATGTTCTTTCCTCGCGCATGGATGAGCACAGGCCTTGCGATGAGATTGGCTCTGATGCTAGGATTACATCGTCTAGATGGTAGTGGTCCTGCGGTAAAGATGTGCATTGCGCCTTCTCGAGACTGGACTGAGCAGGAAGAACGGAGAAGGACCTTTTGGGTAGCCTTTTGCCAAGATAGGTATGCCAGCGTGGGCACGGGATGGCCCATGATGGTGGACGAGCGAGATGTAAGGGATACCTACCTGCCCCGTCTTGGCCTCTGCGAAAGAAACGCCTTTCTAACCAGTGAGCACGCTAGATTTTAACCAATCTTCCTGCGTCTGATGAAGCATTTGTCAACTCTACAATGCAACGAACTTACACCTTGTCGAGTGTTATGGCTGGCGAAAATATTTCAACGCTGTCAGCTCTTGCGGGTCTCGTATTAATCGCTTGCATTTTTGGCCGCAATCTCCATCATCTACACCGGGTAGCACTAGATGATAATGCTCGCGATTTGAATGGCGGATTTTGGAAAAGGCATCGCGCCTTGGATAACATCATCCTCAACACATCTCTTGCGTTACCTAGCCATCTACGATTACCAGAAGGTATCAATGATTCGAGCGTCCTTTTCCTCAATCTTTGCATCCATTCTTCAACCATCTGCCTGCATCAAGCGGCTATATTCAAAGCGGAGAAAAATGACATGCCTAGCCAAATCGCAGCAGAGGGTAAGCGGCGAAGCATAGTTGCTGCGGATCAGATAACAAGTATCATGAAAATGGCCAGCCATACTGATTTGACCCTAGTGAGTTCCTCGGCTGGCATTTTTTTTCACATGTCTGTGTTAACCCGTTTTAGATGAATCCTTTCGTTGCGTTCTGTGTATATGTCTCGTGCCGAGTATTCTTGCAGTATCTGAAGTGTCGACCAGACGATGGATCAGTTCATTCATCTCTTCAATTCTTACTGGCTGCTATGAATGTCCTCAAGCATAAAAACCCTCTCACAGAATCATTTCTTATGCAGCTCGATGCAGACCTTGAAGGGACCGGTCTTGGCAGTAAAGTTGACACATCAAAGTTTTCTTTCGGTACACGGTATGGCGAGGTAAGTCCGGTCTGTGCTAGCGAACTATTCTGGCGATCCGAAATCCCCCCCTTCATCCGCCCGGCAAAAGATGTAATTGCGCACTTAGTACCTAACCATTCACCACTTCAGAACTCTTCACAGACGAACGACTATTGCCCGTCCTTGAAATCATTCTTTCAGGACAATACCCACCAGCCGCCGGACAGCATTCCTGGGTCGTCGTCATATGAACAGACTACGATCCCTCCAGCTTTGTCCTCACTGCCGAATCGGTCCAAACCCTCAGTTGGATCGGCGTCAACTAGCGGGAATGATAACCACGCCCACGTAGCGGACATCGGACAGTTTACGCTTCCCACGGATACAAACTTCATAAAATCGATGGTTATGGAAATGGACTTGTCGGAGGCAAGCACCACAAGTGATCGCCAGTACCTGTCCTCTGATCATCCGACCCCAGGCACAAATCCATCATCGAGCAGTTCAATTTCACCCCGTACAATAGATCAACCATCCCCCCCCGTTCAACAACACCACCGTCAACAAGCCCAGGGATCAAATCCCAATATATATGTCACCGACCTCCCTACTTCCCAATTTGAACCCAACCTTGACAACAACACTCAAACTACTTACGCAAACTACTTTACGCCTGGTAATCCACCACAAACCACCCCTGGATTTGGAAACCTATTCGCATTTCCCGTTGGGTGGAACCCTCCTCGTACCCAACCAAGGGAACCATCCTCAACAACTACTTCAGCAGGGCTCGTTGACCAAATACCAAACCTCGACAATATCACCTGGCCAGGCGGCGTAGATACACTCGCATGGGAGAATTTTCAGTAGCCAATTCACTGGAGCATCTTGACCATTTTGTGTTTTTTTCGCTTCCATTTACTTCCAAATCCTCTTCTTTATTTTTTTTATTTTTGAAAGAAGAACAGACACTGCCCCTTTCTGCTGACAACTGTTGTATAATACTAACCCTATAATTTCGACCCATTTGACTTTCAATGGTCTACTCGCTTTTTATCACACCAAACTTTCACTTGTTATATCAATTTATATGGATGCCAGGACAAGAATTGGAAAAGAAGTATGAGCTTGGAATCATATTTTCATCTTGGAGATTTGGGAGGACTCTTTGAGACGGAAAGGTGTAGGAATTTACGGCATTCTCGTTTTTTTTTCCTTTTTTTTCTTTTTTTTTTTTTTGCCTTCTCTTTGGCTGGGCTTTGTTTATTACTTCTATAGTGGCCTTAATGAAATAAGTGACGAATTACGATGTCGGTTCCGGAGAAATTGGTCATCTCTATCAACTCCTAAGCTCGTCTGTTCCCGTGTTTGCTGGTTTTGTAAACTGACGGCAGGTTGGATCCTCCAATTGTTCATATGGGAAAGTAGGATCGTAAAACGCATTCCGTGACTATTGTTTTCTCATAATTTTATTTAGCTATGACTCTTTGATATTTTTCGGGGGGGATGGCTTGTCTACTCAGGCATTACTTTACGATGTGAAGTCATAATAACCTTTTAACGCTCAGAATTCAGAACAGGAAGTTTCAAATGTAAATTCTCTCCAAAGCCATGCAAAGATGCAAAGGCCACAAGGTCTTTCAACTGAAATCTATTTAGATTCGTCCATTTGGATTGGGGAGGACGTTTCAAACGCAAGTTGCAACTTATCTGGTCCGATGCCTTTACTGTTTCTTTCCTTCCTGTTCTACTAGAGTACATGTTGAGGGACTGACCGCCCCACTAACATGCTGCTCTAAGTCTCCTATCTGTCGACACCAGGAACGTCAAAAGGGTCCGCTACTCCCAGCCCCAACAATCCTTAGTCCACCACCACTACTGCTCCCCATCCCATCAGCAGTGACAGAATAAGCAAGCCAGTATCGAGATGGGTGCCAAGCGACAGCCGGCACGCCCACAGAAGTTCCAGGGCCGCTTCCGATTCCAGCCATCCCGTTGGCTGCGGAGCTCATTCCTCCTGTAGGAATGGTACATACGCTTTCTCCTGTTTCAGCGTGGAAAATCTCAAGCCCGGAACCGCCACAACCGGGTTCGTCGCAAGCCCCCACGATAAACCGACCGTCCCAACTCCAGCTGACGCCCCGCACGGCGCCGCCGTTGGCACTTGATACGGTGCGTTTGCAGATCCAATCTGTAGTGTCCCAGAGGGATATTAGAGCATCGCTTCCGCCAACGGCTAGGTAGCGGGACGTCGGACTGAGCGCAATTGAAAGGCATGCCGAGGTGTGGGCATGGATTGTGTGGAGTGGGTTGAACGACGGATATGAGACGACTTTTACGGTGCCGTCGCCAGTTGTGAGAAAGAGGTCTAGATCGGAAGTATTAAAAGAGTGTGAAAATGTGGTGGCGTTGGTTTGGATAGCTTGTGGGTGTGGGCCGAGGGCTTTGAAGGTGTTCGCCGGGGCGGTGGTTCCAGCAGGTATTTGGAGGGTGGGAGTAGATGGAGATTCGACTGAAATGGGTATTAGGGTGTCATCCTTCAAGTAAAATAAAGACATATAAGCTAATTGGACGTGATCAACCGCTCCCTTTACGTCCCCATTGATGCTGAGTAAGTGAGGGAAGGACGTCAAGATGGTGACCTTCGGAACGAACCTTCCTACCGACGAGTATTACGCTCCCATCAGCAGCCCATGTCATCGTAAATGCCTCGCCTCCTACATCAACGCGGCTGATACACGTTTTGGACCGCACATCCCAGAATCGGACCGTCCCATCACTCGAGCAGCTTGCCAATTCCGATTCTTTGACGGGGTTAAAGGCAACTTTTTCTATACCAGAGGAATGTCCACGTAATTCCGTCGAGTATTTTACATGTGTGCGCTCGGGGTTCCAGATGCGGAGGGTGCGATCCACGGAGCCGGTTGCGATCAAGCTGCCTGTCGGATTCCATGCAAGGGTGCGAATGCTAAATGCAGGCGTAAAGTCAGCTTATCAATTGTAAAGAGCAGACACCAAAAGAAAGGGAAGTATTAATGATCCATACGTATGAGAGCCTGGACCCCGTGCCGCGGGATCATAATAGCTCTGAACTTTCAAACTGCCAAACCATTGGCCAAAGCGGTCCTTTGGGACCATCCGTCGAGATGGCGCTGGAGGCATGATGGTAGGTGGCCGAAGCCCATGCCCTTTGAGACAATAAAGTGGACAAAAATTGCGTTAGTTTCGCAAGTTTCCTTATGAAATGCTCATGGTTACAAAAAATGCCGCAGGGCGTTATCTCGTTTGGCATCAGGGTTTAGTGATTCTGCATCGTTCAAGGTCGCGAAGTAGTTGCGAGTTTCTGCGGGTATTGTCGCTAGAGTCTGCCCGAATCCGGCTGGCTTGGCCCTGGCGCTTGCGCTTATCGCTTGTTGGGCTGGTCCAAATTCGGGATGGAGTTAACGAGCACAAACGAAGGAAATGATGAAGTATTATCCAACTCCATCAGCTGGTCAGATATGTCCGTACCCTGGTAGGTGACACGTTTAATGCTTCATCGTTCTTTGGAGTCTTTTTAGCGAAGCAGAGCGACTCACATTCCTCTGGTAGAACCTATTGCATCATATGCACAATTGATGTCTTGATGTTTGACCAATAGCGGTTTGCAAAGCAGGCACCATTTTAATTTATCTAGACCTGGTAAAGACTGAATGCATAATGCATATCAAAGAATGAAGTAGAAAGGTTTTGAAATCGGGGGTCAGCTTTGAAACCAGCCGAATGGTGGAGAGTACGCTTGAAACAACTTAAGCTGAATATGTAAAACTGGCCCGGATTTGTATTGGAAAGGATTATACTATATCTTCGATTTATGTGTACGGAGTACTCCGTATAGAAGAAGAAAATGAAAATTAAGAAGTGGAGGTGCTGGTGTAACTATGGAATGAGAGCGAGCGGCATTGTGGAGTTTTAAATTTAAGCTTATTCTTCGCCAAGCTAATTTTGACCTCATCTTCTGAAACCAATCCTAAGCTCGCAATAACACATTTCAAAGCCCTGACAGTTGACGAAAATACAAAGGCAACAGGATGTATGAAATAGACGACCCTGATTTACAAAAGGAGAAATGTTACACTACAATTGGGAAGCTACCTCCCTTCGTCGATCCCCAGCAACCGCCAATTAAAAAATCACCTTTCTCCACCATCTCGAAGCACTCGTTTGTGCATTCTGTAAGTAGGCTTGCTTAACTCGTTCATTGACTTGTCTCTCAATACGTGCAGGAAAGAATTTATGGGGATGCTAATTCTAAAATAACGTTAAAGACAGCGCTCATCTTACCAAAAGAAATTTACGACTCGGTTTGGGATTCCATATCTAACCGAATACAAACCCGTCAATATGCCAAAGTGATTATGCCATTGTCGGCTTTGTTGGAGCATGACTTTTTCAACGCTTATATTAAAATTGGTATTCGATAATTCACGTCCTTTTCATCATGTAGACTTTATTTGAATTTAATATCAACCTGCAGACCAGAGCTTTGTTATCTAATGCCAGTGTATAGGTGATATCCTCTTGATTTCAGAAGGTAGGAGCGGCGTGGATAATGTTTATACCCTCAAAGATGGTACGTCATTGTCCCTCTCTTATAGCTATGTAGTCACAATGCACTAGCCATACTAACATATTTCTCCAGGAGTTCTTCGATTAGAGTTGGATAAGAACTCATTTGAGCGAGCCGGACTTGATGGAAAACCAATCCGGAGTGGTGGGAGAAAACACGTAAAGGAAAGATACGGTAATTTATTTATTTCTTTTATTCAACCGGAAACTATCGGCTAATGCTTTTACACATCTAGCCGTGGCAATCAATCTTCGACTCCCATCAATGCTCCACGGGAAAAAGGGCTTCGAGCGGATCGTATGGGCTTTCAAGAACGTATTAACGACATCTGTAACTTGGTTGTTCTGCGACTTAACCCCATCTCCAACTTACTCAGAAGAAGGTAAAACATTCCCTCCCCTTCCTTACTTTTTACCTTTTTACCTTGTTAACTTTATCCTGACAATCCTCTTGCAGACGCTCCGATTAAAAAGCACTATCCCCAGATTATACAATGTGCACCGGACGTGAATGTTCTTGGGACAATCATGGTTCCACCGCTACATTTACCAGGTCTCGAAACAGACACTGGAAAGGAATTCCTTCACGAGACTTGCGACGAGGTTCAGGAATGGCTCGGCCTGGTTGTCCTCGATTCTCCACGCGTGCATGTCAACGATACCATTGACCCATATTTGAGCCGCTACGCACCTCCTAACCAAGATGAGTGCCAGCCTGTCGAGCTGGTTAAGATCTTCTGGAAAGGATTGCTTCCTTCTGCGTGGATAACGCAGCTATTTGCAGTCACTTTGTGGGTTTATTTCATCATTCTGCCACCTGTTCATTTTGTAGTCGATCACGTTGCAGGTCTGAAGTCCTGGCAGACCGCCTTCGCCTCCGAAACGGGTTACTGAACATTTTCATTTTATCACGAAAACATCTTTCTTAAGAAACTTACTAACAATCAATGGCGATCAATAGGCGGCAATTCGCGCCTGGTCCTTCGAAACCTGATGGCTGGTTTGCTCTTACGTCTTTCGCACTAGGCAGGGAAGCGGTCGAAAGCAAAGACGGATACACGATATTGTTCCAGCCGTTGAACAAAGTGCCTACTAAAAACCAACCATCAGAGACTTCCACGGCCAGAGAGCGGCCCCAGCACCAGTTTATTTGCTGGGAATATGCGGGAGGCTCGTCGCATAGCTGATTGAGCTAAAGTTGAGATCAGACTTGATAGTCAAAATGGTGAAGAAAAAGACATCCGTCAAAATTGTAGTGTGGTCTACTATATGGCATGAATGATACATTGTAATGATTTATAGAGTGGAAATGGAAGTTCCTCTATGTAAAAGTGCCTTGGCAGAGTGGCATGGAAAGCAATAACAGCGAAGAATTAACTCCGAGCTGAACTCATCATCCAAAGTACCGATAATACTTATCCCAAAATTTAGGGTGATAATACCAAAAAAGAAACTGATCACAACCCAAAAATGTAAATAAACCGGAAGCAAACACTACATCAAATCATTCAGCACATCCATCAATACCGGTCTCGTCGCTACAATCCTTGCACCGTCTAGGAGTTTCCCTCCTATTTTCTCCGGCCTCCTCTGGCCAGCGGATGGCTGTCTATTCTTGACTGGGCTCAAAGCGATCCGTTGTTTATCCTTCAAAGGACTCTGATCATGAAATGTGACTCTCTTTTTTGGGATCTTCTTTGTCGGGCTCCTCTTCTTAGGACTCAGTGAATTCGATCGCATCACTTCCATGCCCTTCCGCGGGCTCAACTGTGTTAGCCCATTCTCCGCATTTTCAAAAACATGTTGCTCAACAGCGGTACGCGGCAAATCATATGTCCATGCTTTCGCATCCATAAGCTGGACAAAATTTCCTAGTAGTTCATTGCCATCACGAAGCGTATTCTTGCTCCCAACTATAAGCAGTTTGGTTCTCGCCCGAGTAAACGCGACGTTCACGCGTCTCCAATCCCGGAGTAGTTCACCAACATTCCGCTCTGAGTTGCTGCGGACGCAACTCATGATGATGATTTCTTTATCACGGCCCTGGAAGCGGTCTGCTGTGTGCATCTCTAGGTCCGGGTGGTGGCGGAGGTTTTGTTTTAGGAGGGATAACTGGCTTCGGTAGAGGGTTACGACGCCGATATCCCCGGCTGGGATACCTACAGAAATGAACGATTCAACGAGTTGCGCGCAAATCGTAGCTTCGATGGGATTTATGATTCGGGAACCCTTGGATGACTCAGTCGCCTGTGGCTCTAAGGGGTCAGTGTTGACAAGTCGGGTCCTAGCGACAGGGTCGAGCAGATCGCGGATCCAGCAGCGGCCATATCGGGAGCCCAGGCAGGAATTTCTGACGTTGGGGGGTAACGATAATGAGTCGACATGGTGTTGTTTCAGCCTACCGAGATTCGGGATTTTGAGGTAACTTTGAGCAACTTCTGGGGTTCCGCACTTGAGATGTCCCGAGTAGATGAGGGTGTTTGAAAGGAGCATTATATCTTCACACATTCGATATTGGTGCTCTAAGTTGACAACTGAGGCCGGTTGCAAATCGCAGAGAAGCTTAAATAAGCTTACATCCAATCCACTTTCCCGGGCTTCCTTATCTTGAACGAGTGGAGGTAGCTGATAGTGGTCTCCAACGAGGATGAACGTTTTCGCCATACGAATGGGACCTAGACAGACCGGGAGAGTTATTTGGGACGCCTCATCAACAATACAGTAGTCGAAGGTGCGGCTATTAAAAATAGGGTGGTTAATGCCCAAGCATGTGGTTGCCACGATCCGTGAATTTTCATAAATATCCCGTAACTCCTCTATGGTCTTTTTGGGAGTTGCTGCCAAATCAGCAAACTTTTGGACATCTGGATGGATTTTGGTTGTGGCACCCAGCCTTAGCGTTCGAATATTGTCGTCCTTCACTTTGAGCAAAATATTGTCGACAGCGGTATGAGTGTAAGATGTTAGAAGGACGCTTTTCCCTTGAGAGATAAGAGCCCGTATAATATGGGCTATGGTGGTTGTTTTTCCAGTTCCTGGCATCCCCAAGATCAGAGCGTAATCATTTGCACTCATCACTTTCTTGATAGCTTGCTCTTGGTCGATATTTAGCTCTGTCTCAGGGAGGCATGGTATGGCTGATGAAGAGGGCGGCTTGAATAAAGGAATGTGGCCATCAATAATCAAATCCCTGAGCCGCCTAGCTTGGAAGGTGTTTCTATCCATCATACAAACAAGATTGTTTCGGACAGTCGCCATGCCATTGCTGAATTCGTCCTTGTCTAGGCGGTAAAGAGTCGTGTCTTCGGCCTTTTCAGGAAAAACGGTAGATTCAGATCCGCCAGTTTCAACAATTTCCATAACACCTGTAAAGGATTGATGTCGATCTGCATCAAAGTTCGAACATCTCGTTCGGGCATTATGGAGCCGCCGGTCAACTGCGACCGAGATTCGCGTACGACTAATATGGGTGACATAGCCGTTGGCGAGTGCGAAATGACCCTTTTCGTCAGAGACAACGATGGGTTCTCCAACACTAAGCTGTGAGTCCCCAAAGGAGAAGTTTGAAGGTGGTTGGTGTTTGAAAAATGTATACCTAAATCGATTAATTTTCGGTACACCGGTCTCTTCATAAGCGGACCCCGGTTCGACCATAACGTTACCGAAGCAGCGGCCAACACCCTCGCGTTCGTTACTCAACATGGTCCACAATTCCCGTCGGAATTTAAGGATATCTCGCTCTTCCATAGTCAAAAGAGCGTCCCATTTCTTGAAGAAGTTTTGGTGGGAGGGTGTAAGATGTCCGACAATCTCAATGAAACTAGTTCCCATTCCGCTGCTCTCATCATCTCCGTCATCCATGACTTTGTGGTAGATGAAACATGCATCTTTGGCGTAGCACTGGTTGCATATCCGTGCCTTTTTAAGCATTGGAGGTAAGTCTGATTTTTTACATATGAACTCAGCGAGACGGTTACGCTGCTGTATCATTTGGCGGATTTCGCTTCGGATAGCTCGAACTCGGAAAGTTTTGGTTGCTTCGAGATAGAAGAGTATTCCAAAGGTCACATCGATATCTGAATACGACTAGTTAGCGAATGAGTATCCCCACTTGCGTGGAAAGAACATACCATATCGATCGGAAACAAGCAAGGTGTACAATGCCGTTTGCGCCCTGTGAGCCTCATTGGAATTGTTCCGTCCCGTTTTCAACTCGAATGGGACAGTTAGCGTCTTTTTCTCTGTCCCTTCCTGGACGGCCACTTGCACAGTCGCATCGACATTGCCTTTCAATCCGTACATAGGAGACCAGATATGCTCCTCAACTTCAAGAAGCTTGTTGATGCTTAGACACGAAGTAGTGCCACTCCTGTCTTCCGTAATTGACTCGATCTGCATGCTTATCAGCATATATATAAATGTCAAAGCTAGAAGTAAAGGGCCTCATTCATACCGTAGGGCGTGATCGCATGAAGATGTCCGCCCACGAGCTTAGAGCAGGTATTTTGCTCATTAAATACTCAGTAGCTTCAGAAACTTCGACTTGGATCTCATACAAACTCTCCACATAGTGCTCTAATGTGCGCGAAATAATTTCACGCAGCCAGCTTTGATCCCAGCGATTTGCGCTCGCGGCTGCTTGGAATATTTCGTGAAGGATATGACCATACACTTGAGGTTTGTTGGCTTCGCTAGTAGCCTTAACGCGGTCTTGGAGAACAGCACGGCGGGGGCAGGTAAACGAGTCCGCCACCACCGTTGCAGAGATTAGATGGTCTGGGTGAAGGATTATCATATTGTCAGAATTGTCCACCACGCATCGTCCCATATGATCGAAGCTTCCGATGAGGTGGATATAAGATCCCTTTGAGCATGGCGTATCATACCATGACTCCCGTAAAGTGATAGTTCGATTGTTATTCGTTTTCTCCTCTTGCACAAATAGTACCTATAGTGATGTTAGCACATCTCAAATGTAATATACGAGACATCATAGTCATACTTTTTGAGGCTTTGATTGGCCTTTGGAATTTAGATACGTATTTTCTGCCGAGTCTATAATAAGATGCCGTTCAATAGTCTGTCTTGATTTACGGTTCTTTAAATCACTTAGTATAGGAATTTAAGAGATGCTAATCGAGAACACAGGATGACCAACATGACTCGAACCGTTGATACCAGCAACCTTTTGCATTGCTGCTTCAATGGACTCCAAATCGATGTCCTCATCGAATTCATCACCGGAGGAAGATATCGCTCCGTCCAAAGAAGGGGTCTTTGGTTCAGTCTTCCTTACGGCTGCTATTCCGAAGGAAGGGGCGGGCGGTTCTGCTAAAATAGCGTTTGGTTTTTTGCCTGCGTTCGTCTGTTCTTTCAAGTCATAACGGGCTAGAACTTCTTCCATTGCTTCAGGAAATTCGTCATCGCTGTCATTAAATTCATCAACCTCTTCGGAATTTGTATGGGCGTGTGAAGTTGGCAGCGTGGGTTGTTTATCGTTCTTGTTGATGGAACCGGTCCTAGGACGATCAGGTTTGGCGTGCGCCGTATATAAAACTCCCGTAAGCCTTTCCTCCTGTACAGCGTCAGGAAGCGGACCAACTTCGGAATATATGGGTTTATGTTGATTGTCAGCCTTTCCAGCAAATTCAAGGAAATCATCATCTAGTCCATCATCGTCAAACTCGGACAACGTTGCATTCAAGTCTTGTATGGTGTACATAGTGTCATTGTAAACGGCATCATTGGCCATCACTCTTCTTGAGCACTTAGAAGGGGTATCAATTGGATTGTTTTCATTCTCGTTCCTAGGTTTTGGCGGTGAGCCAGAGAATTCCGCTATATTATCAGGCCGTTCCGGCAAAGGAGTGGAGCTAGACGGGCCTGATATTTCTCCCCTCGGCGATTTCAAGAGGGTTTCTTGTATTTTCCCCACCAAGAGGCTGATTTTAGAGGACTTTGAGGTGCCATCACCAAGAAGCGAGCTTCGCGATCCAGCAAAAATGTCCCGAACTCTCTTTACAGCCTGCTGTTCATTGTCAACTCTTCTTCTTTTAGTATTAGATGTCGGCCAGTAGACATTACAACTGTTTGATCTGCGAAGCGTCGACAAATCTCTACCCGCTCGAGCGGCCGTGGGGGTTCGTGGTGAGGATGAGACGAGATGAGCGAACTGAGGTTTTGGAGCATCACCACCGGGGTTTCCTGTGCTTTTCCCGATGTATTTACTCCAGAGGTCCGCGGCAATATCGTGCTGGGGCGTTCTCACGAACTTCGGTAAGGGCTGGGGGCTCGACATAATGTGTTTCGAATCTGCTCCTAGAGGGGAGCTGGTCGGTGATGCGCTTCGATAGCGCTTTTGGCCTCTTGTAATGGGTGAGCCTGAGGCGTCTCTAGGATCTGTGTTGCACGGCTCATGCTTCCAAAACACATGGTCTTCGGGACTGATAACCCTTCCCGGGGCTCTGCTGAAAGCGTCCTCTGTATTGCTAATCAGATCAGCTAGGGGAATTCTATGTGCCGGTGTTTGAGGCGATTTCTTCTCCGGCTGAACCTCTCGGCATTTCGTTCCACTCGACTGTGGAGTAGGCACTGGTATGTCGCCTTCTCCCATACGAGCTTTCATCTCCGCATTTTCCTTATCCATCGAACCGGAATCGTCGCAATTTTGGTCGACCGTTGGCATGTTGTGAGAATACTGTGGTACAGCTGGGGCATAACGAAACGTATTTAACTTTATTCTTGATTTTGATGATATCACGAAAGCATCGCTAGGCATTATAGAGGCATTTGCTCGGTTCTCGAAACGGGGTTTGTTGGGCGCGTTGTCTCCCTTGAAGGGAAGACAGGCTATCTAACGGGAGATAGACGCCATTCAAAGTTACTCGCGGTTGGAACGTTGTATAAACAAGTAGTTGAAAAGGTGCTGCGCAGTATAACTGAGGGGCAGTGAGGCTGTTGATTTGTTAAGAAACGATCGGTCGTTGAGGGGCAGCGGAAGGAAATTGATGCCGCCGTCACATACCAGACGCGTAAATAGTTAAGAGCGTGCAGGCGCGTCTGCATTATGTAATGACCAATTAGAATTTCGGGCCACTCTGCCGCAATCCGCGCTAGAAATAGCCGCGCAGAAAAATCTGCGCGCTTAGGCGGACCCGAATGGAGATTCTTTGCCCGCTTCACCGAAATCTCGGCAAAAGCGTTGGAACGCGCCGTTTTGGCAACCTTTTGCTCCCCTCCTCCTCCACAGTTACCATTCTCCTTTGTTCCCTTCTCTCGCAGACGTCAGCGTTCCCTATCTATCCCTTCTCCTCTTCGCCAGCTGTGCTTTCAAGTTTTATTTTGCCCAGCCCCGTTTTGGTTGGTTGCGCAAAATTTTTCGCACACTAGTATATGCTCCCGTTTAAAACCGCGACGTCAAAATGTCACAAGAGCAGCAGCCTCTGCCGTTCGTATACCAGTTCGCTGCGGGAGCAGTGGCTGGTATATCTGAAGTCAGTTTCCCCCATTCCTGAAATTTATAAGGCCAATTGACTAACGGCTACACTGCTCATTCTAGATTCTTGTAATGTGCGTAGTCCCTGGTCGGATGACGGTACCACCAGCTACAAAATAGCGTATGCTAACAAGAGAATCGCATTAGGTATCCTTTGGATGTTGTGAAAACAAGAGTGTAAGCATTGGCCTGTTGAGACCTTCTCGCTCGTGGCTCTCTCAAAACTGATGTTGAAATAATAATTCTGTAGTCAACTCCAACAAGGCGCAGGCGCTGGCGAAGAAGCATACAAGGGAATGGTGGACTGCTTCCGCAAAATTATTAAAAATGAAGGGTAGGGTTGATCTCTGTCTACCCTGTGTAAAATGTTTTACACAAACTGATAAACTATGACTCTATACAGTTTCTCCCGCCTATATCGCGGCATCACGGCCCCTATTCTTATGGAAGCCCCTAAGCGAGCAACCAAATTCGCCGCCAACGACAGTTGGGGCTCCTTTTATCGAAACCTTTTCGGCATGGAAAAGACCAACCAGCCTCTCGCAGTCCTCACTGGCGCCACCGCTGGTGCCACGGAATCCTTCGTCGTCGTTCCCTTCGAGCTTGTCAAGATTCGTCTGCAAGATAAAGCCTCCGCTGGTAAATACAGCGGAATGCTCGACGTAGTGAGAAAGATTGTGAAGTATGAAGGTCCTCTCGCGCTATACAATGGCCTTGAATCCACGCTTTGGCGCCATATTCTTTGGAACGCTGGATACTTTGGTTGTATTTTCCAGATCCGCGCCCAGTTACCACAGCCAGAACCAGGAAACAAGACTCAGCAGATGCGAAATGACTTGATTGCAGGTTCGATTGGTGGAACTGCTGGAACTCTTTTGAATACTCCCATGGATGTTGTCAAGTCCCGCATCCAAAATAGCCCGAAGGTCGCGGGATCTGTTCCGAAGTACAACTGGGCATGGCCAGCTCTAGGCACCATTATGAAGGAAGAGGGCTTCGGCGCCCTTTATAAAGGATTCACGCCCAAGGTGCTCAGACTGGGTCCCGGCGGAGGAATTCTACTGGTGGTATTCACCACTGTCACTGATTTCTTCCGGCAGCTTAGAGGGGAGTAAAATATATCGCAAAAGTTTCCCATTTCTCTTGTACCGTGACCACCGATTTCCGCGGGCGTTTTTGGAATTTTACCGTAATAGAAGCCGTTCCAGCGTGTTCATGTTTTAAGAATACTTTTCTTTGCCACAGATATAGAACAGGAGGCGCGGAGCGAGGTCACCTACGAGGGACATACGAATGCAGTTTAGACTTCCATGTCGATTTCACCTCCATTACCAGTTGTCTCCTTGGCTCCACCCTCAATCAGACCCGACTTCCCGAGAAACGACCACAACAAACAAACAACCACCCCGATACCTTTCCATATACCATTCAGTTCCCACATAGTGATATTGGTACTGCTTCAATCATCCGTCATATAGACTTTTCATTTCTCCTATATCTCTTTCTCATCTTCCCCGTCTTCCTCTTCCTCTTCTTGCACGTTGTCATCTTGTCAACTGGGTTAGCTTTTCATCCCCATACGGCCCAATCACCATTATATTCCTCAATTTTGTTTTTGGGCTTGAAAAAACACCCCAGTGCGGTCGTTTTGGAGTGTTCTACGGCGTGTCACCAGCACCAGATTCTTCATACATACGAGAAATTCGTTCTCAGCCAAATCCCTTCATCTTGTTGCCTTCATAGATATAGAGTGCTATTTCGTTTGCCGTCTTACTTCTACTTCGAGGCATTCTGATTTATCTGCGCGTGCATCAACTTCTCCGAGAGATACCGATACAAATCCTGTTGCAAAAGCAGGGGAAAACATGTTGTGAGTGTTTAAAGATGAATGAAGAATGAAGATTTGAGCAGGCATTGTAAATAAGTGTTGAGTGATTGATTATGTTAATTAACTATTAATAGTAACAATGTTGATTCTTCTACAAGCTCAAATGCCGGAAAACATCTTCTACTTCACTTTACAGAGATATTATTTGTAGACTCTTCAGTATTACTGATTTATAGATTTTATATGAATTCTTATTCAATAACATAGATCAATCTCATTCAATAACATAGATCAATCTCTATCTACATGCTTAACTGAGTGTACATATTTAACTCCGAGAACATGAAATGTGGCTATACAATCAATCAACCTTCCACCTTCATCAGATTATGAGCTCTTGACTGTGTTCTGCGCCATCAACTACATGCTTTCATTAAAACCTAGAGATTAGTTTCATGAGTCTTCTACAAGAGTGAACAATGATAAGAACTTGACAGAATGACTAGCAAATGACTAGAATTCATATTTAAAGATCAACAAAAGTTTAAGGCATAATATAGTCAATCTTTTTCATACACAATCAAATCAGCTTCACCCTTCAACCACAGTCGAGCAATTCACTCTACTAAATGCCTAAGGCCTATTGTCGGGATTCCGGGATTATAACTGTCGGAATGGGTATCTCGGATGAATATGTCGGAAACATATGAATCTTATGTGTATCAAGATCTGCTTCTTATATTATCCGTACACTATCTATTATTATTATATCTAATTCCATACAAAAGATAGAGCTATTTATAGTAAAACAAATGTGCGAGCCAAGAGAGCTAGCATTAGCAAGTATTAGACGAGTTTTGTAGTAAGCTGATGATCAGAAAAATAGTAGTAATACGATGTTGGTGGCGTTCATCAGTGTATGACCTCTTATTTCCCGACACCTATTCTCTATATAAATAAGAATTCAATCAATTCTTTGAAAGATAATCAACTAAGACTGGGAGCTAGAGTCAGAGCTAGTGTCAGAGCCTGGACTTATGAGATTTCTGTGTTTTTAGGCTATAATAGCAGAATATTGTAGAATAGAGAGTGATGAAATCCAAATTTTGTATGTAATATCCACGCCAGTGTGGCTCAGCCTTATCTCGGTAAACTTAGCCACTCCACTCCGAGCTAACCCGATCCGAATTATTGACACCTTCTGCCAAGTCCTGCTAAACATCTGAGCCGAATCCCCCGGGCAGACACTAAACCTAAATGAGACATCACCGGGAAAACTCTCCCTACAAGTGAATACGCAGTATGTGGTTGCGAGCACGTGAACTTGACGAAAGTTCGAAAGGAGTTTAGTTGGTCGCGCTAATTTGAAAATATCCAGCGGAGAGGCTGAGCATGCTGAGATAAGCGGCGTGGAGTTAGTTAACTAACTTAGATTAATTGAATACAATCTACGGAGTACTCGTACTCCGCACAGAGCCCTGGCTCAGATGACCTTGTCGCCACGGGGCTTTCACCTCCCCCGCACATGATCCACCTACATCTCATAGAAGCAACAGGTGTTCTTAGAGCAGCTATTAACAATAAAAAGATAATAATTGAGCCTATTCAAACGTGTTGGCAGTGCAGTTCTTTTAAAAATATACGAAAACACGTCGGCCGGGTCATATGTGGAATGGACCGGATGGTTAAGTTTATTTAATCTTGGAGAAGCTACTTCATGGACTGACCGATCGATCGCATTGTGAATCACGTGATATTGGAGCGACTTTAGTGGCAACACTTCTAAGCCTTCTATTTTTATTTTATTTAATTTTTATTTAAATATTTTTATACTATTTTTCTCATCTGGGTATAAAAATAATTATTGAATATTATTAACTACATAGTAGAAATAGAAATTTCCTTTAAAATCTCATTAATACAAGATAGTATTTTCTTAAAATTAGAGAACAGAAGATTTAATCTCTGAAAATGAAAGCTCTCAAAGAATATTGAGACTCAAAATATCAAAGATAATAATTGTGTCAGTGTCTCACCCGTCGCTGTTCCTCAGCCTGTCAGAAGAAACAAGCAGTGAGTGAGGCACGGGCACAACAATTAGAGGATGTTACTGTGTATATAGAAGCTGCCGGGTTCAAGATCTTAGTTAGATCAAAAAGAGTATAAGACGCTGGCAGGCTAGCCGCGTGCTCCTATTCTTATATTGTGGTACCTTACCCGCTCCGGCGGCCCGACCCGATTAAATTTATTACTTGCGAGAGACTAAACAGTCGCATCTAATTAACAAACATCCCAGTGCCTACTGTTACAAAGAGCCATGAATCACAGTTAGACAAAGCAGAATAAAATATCACAGAAAAAAGAAGATTAATACATCATGAAATAAACAGTATACATAAGAACATAGATAAGAGACTGAAAATATAAAAGAGAGAAAAAGATTCAAATATTATATTAATAAAAATCTTTAATCATATGACTAGAAAAAGAATGAGAGAAGCAAATAACAGCAAAAACTTTGATTGAAGTAAGTAATAAAAACTATAAATAAACTATCAGCTACCAGCAATCATTATAGTTATATACATATACATATATATATCATTAGATAGATCTCTCTTTACATCTGTCAAATGAGCACATTAATCACACAGTTGTTAACCTCTGCAATGCACCAAGATCAGAATTAAGAATTGAAAAAGATTTGAGAATAAGATCTTCAATATGAGAATCGTATACTTTTTGTTTAACTTGATGCTGAGCTTTCATCTTGCAGCTGTTGCAAGCGGTGCTGCAGTGATGATGAATAGAAGTGTGAAGGTGAGTTGATACCACTTCTTTACTATCTAGAAAGTCTTAAAACTTCCGAAAACCATGATCTGATATAATAGAGTAAGAAGGCCAGCAACGATACCGATCCTGAGTCTCAACCCCCGGGTCTCTCGGATCCTGCGGGTAAACCCAGTAATCCTAACAACCCTGATCATGATGAGCTGCACAACCCAGGGCAGAAGCGGTGGGACCCGCTGGGCAAGTCCTTCATTCGCAGGGGTCCATTAAAACTCCCACCCTCAGAATGCAAAAAGCACACTTGCTACAAAGATAGTGAATGCAAGTTCCTTGGATGTACATTTTGCCATTTCACTTCTAACCCAGGAGGTCTTGGTCATTGTATCTGAGAGTGATGTTGATCTATTATTCAAGTTGTTGCTATTGTTGTGAGATTTTTTCTCTTACTTTGTTTTTCTTTTGTTTCTGTTCTTTTTTCTTTTCTACTTTCTTGAGAGCATTGTGAGAAAAATGAAGATAGATAGAGTTGATATGACAGTCTATTGAGAAAAATAAAGTTACAGTTGATATGACAGTCTATAGTAATAAATGAGTAGAATCTCCTCAGGTGTATAGAGCCTCTTCAGGTATAGAGTCTCACCAGGTATAGAGTACTCTCAAGTATAGAGTCCCCTCAAGTATAGAGACCCCTCAGGTATAGAGACCTCTGGATAGAGCTCCAGTGACAAAACATACAGCGCTCCACCACGAACTCGCTCAATTCTTCGAATAAGAAACCGGCGATAGATCCACCGAATAGCCCTCGATCCTACGAGCATTTTGACCCCAATACCAACCTCATACCCTGTGTGGTGGTGGAGTTATGCAACCAAACGTGGTTGGAAGCCTCTGTGTACCCCTACCACGCCACAACCCTGGGTCAAATTGCCATACAAATTGTAAGGTGAGGAGACCTAGCTCTATGCACCAATCCTCTTGATTTTGGAAGATTCCCAACCACTGATTGTGGAGATATTTGAAGCATAATCTCTGTGAAAACCCTGTCTATTTTTGATGTTCCAAAACATCAATGCCAAGTCTCATACACATAACTGTGGAAGGTTGTAAAGCTTGCTTGATTGAAAGGTTGCTAGCTTGTGGGAAGTTATATGGTGGAAGGATTAGTAAGCCAGATCACGTAACCTGACACACCCACTCACCAGAGTAACTATACACGATGCTACATACAAAATTCGCCTTCAATCTCTTTTATCTTAATATTCTCCTTCCAACGCGTATATTTCATCGTTCCAAGTGGTTTAGTAAGCCCATCCGCCGCGTTCTCGGCAGATGGAATGTATTGGATAGATATCTTGTTCTTGCGGACGAGATCCCGAAGGATGTGGAAACGGACCTCTATATGCTTCGAGCGGCGCGGAATTGATTCGGAAGAGGATAGCTCTATGGCGGACTTATTATCGGCATGGATTGTATAAGCGAGACCATTGGCTGTGGTGGGGATGGGGTGATCATCGGCATCCAGATTATTGAGACGGGATGGAATGAATCCAGCGTCTTCTAGAAGCTCGCGGAGACAGACAAGCTCATATGCGGCCTTGGAGGATGCAATATATTCGGCCTCTGTTGATGATTTGGAGACCCCAGTTTGACGGCAGCTCCGCCATGCAACGGGGCCACCTGCCATATAGATGATATAACCGGTGGTTGAACGGGATCCTGGATCCCTACCGGCCCAATCGGCGTCTGCGTATGCCACAGGTTCAATATCGGCATCCCTGTGATAGGTTATACCCTCATTGATTGAACCCTGTAGATATCGGAGTGTACATTTGAATGCGGTCACCATATCAATCTGCAGGATGTACCAGCCCCGGGATGCCGAGATCGCCATGAGAGCTCGGGAGGTGGATGCAGAGACAACAGGTGCAAAGGTCCTTGAGTAATTGACCCCCTTCTGTTTCAAACAGTTGACCTCTTTAACGCAGGCCTTGTAATAATATTTCCATTCCATGGAAGCTCTGGCGCGCGTGAGGTTCTTCGGGATCGGAAGTGCAGCAATCTCGGGATCAGAAGATAGGTCTTCATGACTGTCCCCCACTGAAGATTCCCCCACTGTATATTCCCCCATTGTAGATTCCCCCACTATAGTGATATCCCTTGTAGATGTCGGAGGGTCATCAGATTCAACTGTGAGTTCCGGGGAATTCAGTGTATTCTGCACCAAAAAAGTAGATATTCTCGCGGAAATTTCATAATCAATCCACCAATTATTAGTGGGTACGAGAAATAATGGACACTCAGGTTGGATTTCCTCATCAATGAACAGATCATCAGTTGATGAGTCGGGAGTCACTGAAGGAATCTCTGAAGGAATCACTGCAGGAATTGCTGCAGCGGGTAGGCCTGGTGTCGCCGAAGGAATCACCGCAGCCGCTTTACAGGCCACATTGAGTAGGACCTTCAGGTTGTGTGTAGTCGGTATCGATGGATCGGCAAGATGGAGGTCCTCCTGGAAGATGACGTCTTTTGATATGTATAGACACTCATTGGAGGGGTCAACCAATCTATAATTAGTAAAACCATCATATCCCACAAAAATCAATTCCTTGGAGTGGGAGAT